AGGTGGACAGCCATATTCCTTAAGGATGTTGAGGGCACAGGACCAGGAGCAGAGGCATGGTTCCTTCCTGAGCAGCCTCCCACCACTGCCACTAGGGCCCACAATGGCTGGACTCTGCTCCACTCTCCAGCCTCCTGTGAGGCAGCCAGCAGAGCCACAGCCAAAACTCTGACCATTTCTGTGCTGGGTGTCCAAGCAGAGGGCCTCAAAGAGACTAGAAACCTTGCCCATGCCTAAAGGTAATGGCTGGGCATCAGATCAAATAGGACATTCATGTTTGCTGAAAACCTTCTTGGGGACCTGTATTCAGGACCCTCCATGACTGGCCATATAGGCTCTTGAGCCTCAGTCAAGTCAATTACAGCTGTCCCAATCCAGTGTGGCTGCCTCCTCCCTTCCAACCCTTTAGGTCCCTGTAACCTTGCACCTCCAAACTGCCCAGAAGTCATACCTCTCTCATGGGAAGAGGAGCAGACAGGGAAACCTGCCTCCCAAGAGGCGTGTGTGTGTGTGTGTGTGTGTGTGTGTGTGTGTGTGCGTGCGCGCGTGTGTGCACGGGCACACACCCACACCTGTGGTGGCTGGGAGTGGTTGGAAGACATAGTGGTTGATGTTAACCCCATGTGAATGTGTGTGTAACAATAAACAACTACCACTGTCTTCCTTGGCTCTTCCTCCATGTTTGCGCCCTCATCTCAAGTGTCCCTTCCTTGTTTGATTCAGACTGCACCAGAGACCTCCCAGCTCCGCATGTTGAAGAGTGGCTGGTAGGAGCCTGGTCCCATGGCAAGGGAGAGAACTGAGCCTGGGGAAGAAATGGCGCTGCAAACAAGAAATTGCCTTCCATGCCCACCTCCAGCCCTCTCATTCCCTGGAACCAGACCCAGCAACACTCACACACTGAGAGACAAGCCCTGGGGAAAAACTTAGTCTATTTCATGCCCTCCAGGGTAGCAGACAAGTCAGAAGGCCTCTCATTTAGGCCTGTGAGTCCCATTCAAGGGAAATGGGGGGTGGAGGGGCGGGGAGGCAACGCCGAGGGGACCCTCCCTCTAGCAATCACTCTGTCCCTGGTCCCTCTTCAAAGTTTGAAGGAAGCCCCACCTGGGTCCGCAGGAAGTTGAGGCTGGTCTCTGAGATTCTGCAGAAAAGCAAGATGGGAAAAGGGAGCAGCTGGCTAGGAATACTGACCCTCAAACCTGCAGACCAGCAAGGCAGGTCCAGTAATGTCCTTCCCTCTAGAGAGCAGTCCTCAATTTATAGGCTGATATTCTGAGTACCGCTTGTGGCCCAGCAGCAGAAACACGCCTCCTGCCAGCAGCATGAGTGCTGGAGCACCCAGGGCCACTGCCACGATGCCTAGGACTAGCGAGGACAAGGCATCTACTGGAGGGGTGCCCACACCCAGGAGCATGGACCTAGAGTGAGCAGAGTGAGAAAGAGAGGTGAGCAGGCTTAGGGGGGAAGGCCAAGAGGCCCAACCCTCCTCCACTTTGACCTCCCAAACCCTCGGCCCAGGCCCTGACTCTCACCAGCTGAGGTAGTGTTTGTCCCAGTAGCCAGGGCCTGTGGAAGCCCCAAATGTCAGATTGAAGGCACAGAAGTTGTTCTGGGACCCAAAGAAGGCTCGAACAATGGGTGACTGGGGTAGAAGGTATGCCAAGGTGGGGTAAAGAGGGGAAGCTTGACAGGGCATGGCTGATTCCCGGCCCCCCTGCTTCTGGGAGAAAGCCACTGGTCGCCACTGCATGAAGCCTGATGGGAGGGAGCCCCATAGCAGCTGGTCCAACTGGGGAGAAAGGCAAACAGGCAGGATGAGGAGGACCAGTGGTGCCCTACCTTTCTGTTCCCCCACCCTTTCCCAGCCTCCATCTGTCACGAGTTGTCCTGAATCCTAGGCCTGGTTCTAGAACTCACAGGCTGTTTGCATCGATCTCTCTGTAGAAAGGGGAGCTGGACTGGATGGCACTGGGTCCTTTTCCAGCCTTAACACTCAGCAAGCCTGCACTCAGCTCCCTCCTTTGGGCCCCCGGGCCCTTGCAAATCCTGTCAGAGCACTAGTCACATTGTACCGCCTTCCCTGTGGCTCCTCCACTGAGAGCAGAGACTGGGCTAATTCGTTAGCACAGTGCCCAGCACTTAAAGGAGCTGAATGAAGTGTTGCTAAATGGTAAATGGTTGAATGATTCTCTGAGGTCCTAATGGGGTCCCCCTTCACCCCACACCCATCTGCTTCTCTGCTGGAAGCCTGACCTGGAAGACGGCAGGTGCATATTCATCATCGATGAAGTGCTGCTCCTGCACTGAGGGGCAGTCAGGGCCATGGCCCAACGTGGCTACCTCCAGCCCAAACAAGGAGTGGTTTCCCCGGGGAGAGGCCCCAACCAGGTCCACCTCTAGCTGGCAGGTGTCCGCTGTGTGCAGGAGGCGAGGGGGTTGGGCTGGTCGGCCAGATCTGGAGAAGGCCTGAACCTAGGATGGAAGAGGCATGGGAGGTGTGGGAAGCAGGTGGACGCCTGTGTTTGAAGGCGACCCCCATCATTAACTCCCACCCTCGTAAACCAGCCTTTTGAGTTCTGATTCCCCATACCCTTACCCTGAAGGCCAGGCTGCCACTGGCAAAAGCCCCAGTGGGGTCGTGAATGGGGTGGCCTCGAAATGTGGCGCTCAGGGTGGCAGGATCCAATGAGTCAGTGATGTTGTCCCAGGAGAAATCGGCCAAGGAGTATGGGGGATATGATTTTCCTGGAGGCTTTGCGGCCGCGTCGGATGTGTTGGTGCTGTCAAACTCAAACAGCTGGCGGGTGGGGGTGGGGAGGCACTAGGCTTGCCTGAGTCCAGCTTTCTCCTGAATCACCACCACCCCCCGTTCACTGGCCCCACCCCAGGCTCTCATACCTGACTCGACTTCACCTACCCCCAGTCTTCAGTTTCTCCCTCTAACTCGAATGAACCCTCTCCTCTGCACTCTTCCCCTTGGTTCTCCCCCAACCTCCTCACCCTGGTAAAGACGAGAGCAGAAGAAAATTGGATGCTCTCCTTGGGGAGTACCATGAGGCCCCCTTCAGGCTCAGAGGAAATCAGGAGGCTCCAGTTGACACTCAGGGTGCTGTTGGGGGTGTTGGTGGCCACCAGCAGCACGGCTGGGGGTCCCAGGCTGCTCCACACATAGTGCAGGGTGGAAGTGGCACCCACTGCCTGGATATGAAGCAGGTTCTGGGAAGGGTCCAGCCAGTCAGAGATCACCTTCAGAGACACCTGGAACATGGAGCAGTGGAGGGTCAAGAGAACAGGATCAGGGAGAGACACAGGGCAAAGAAGTTTGGGGATAAGGAGAGGGGCCTTGGAAAATGATGGGGAAAGGGTGGGACCTTGGGGGCCTAGGCAAGAGGAATGCTTGTGGGAGCTAACAGAACCTTGTTGTAAGGGGCAGAGGTGGGGTGGAGGAGAGGTGGGTAGAGCCAGAACTGCCTTGACCCTGGTGGAGAGATCAGGGCACAGGGCTGAGAGGAAAAAAGAAATCCAACACCTGCTTGGACCTGGCTCACTCAGCGCTAAGTCAAGGTCCAGGTTTCACCGGAAGACAGGAAGCTCTCACATCCACCCTACTCCACAATCCTGTCCCGTGACCCATGGCTGCTCCGACCCCCAGTTTGAAAAACTCTTTTGTCAATGCAAGCACGCTCCACCCCCACCAACTGTTTGCCCTAGATTCCAACCACCCTTCAAGGTAGCATATCCTGAAACACCTACTGCTCTAGCCCCTCACCTGGCGGGTCTCCTCCCCAAGAAGGCCAAACGGAGCTGCTGTCAGAAGTAGACTCAGGAGGAGCACGGCGCTCCTCATAGCTTCTCACGCAGTCCCGACTTCAGAAGGCGGAAGAGACGCTGAAATCATGTGACTCACAGATTCAGCTGATCTTTTTAAAGGGCGGGACCATCACAACAGTTCTTAAAGAGACCGCCTCCCTTAACCCAGATTTGTGAGTGAGAATAGAATCAGAAAGGTTAGGAGTTCGTCATCCCCAACTGACCTGGCAAGCAAGTCACCCCAGGCTAGATCTGCAGACATACTCCCAACCTCTCCTACCCAACTGGTCCCGCTAGAGTTACCTATAAGCAGGCATGATGTCTGGATTCAACATCCAAATGTAATCTATAGAATGACTCTGTGGCAGGGAAGCCACAGAGAAGAATTTGAAGGAATTCGATGGGAGAGATAGCACACCTCAGAGGGTTCTTTTTGTCAATTTTTAATATTTATTGAGCCCCCAGCTATGCAGGTTCTTGTCCTGGAAGAGCTCACAATTTTATTGTGGAGAAAAGAAACCTCAGAAAACAGGACATGAAAGTGATACATAATTGTCATAGGAGGGAGTTCATGTCTGGCTGAATGAATTCACTTTTCATTTTTCTTGTTTTTTTTCTTTAATTTTAAAATTTTATTTATTTTTTGGCTGCGTTGGGTCTTTGTTGCTGTGCGCGGGCTTTCTCTAGTTGCGGCAAGTAGGGGCTAATCTTCGTTGTGGTGCACAGGCTTCTCATTGTGGTGGCTTCTCTTGTTGCGTAGCACAGACTCTAGGCACATGGGCTTCACTGCGACGCGTGAGCCCTAGAGCGCACAGGCTTCAGTAGTTGCAGCACGTGGGCTCAGTAGTTGAGGCGCACAGGCTTAGTTGTTCTGTGGCATGTGGGATCTTCCCAGACCAGGGATAGAACCTGTGTCCCCTGTATTGGCAGGCGGATTCTTAATCACTGCGCCACCTGGGAAGTCCTTTCTTGTTTTTTTGTTTTTGGTTGGTTTGTTTGTTTTGCCTAACCATAAAATTATTTTGACTGATAAAAAATGCATACAGTACAATATTCATAAGGTACCAAAGGGTACCACCCCTATTCCCCAGCAACCTGGGTCCTTCCTTGAGACAACCACCATTATCAGTTTCTCATGTGTCCTTCATAAAATATTCTATGCATGCTCAAGTGTATGTTTTGTTGGGTTTTTTTTGGCCGCACCATGTGGCATGTGGGATTTTAGTTCCCCGACCAGGGATCGAACCCGTACCCCCTGCAGTGGAAGTGCAGTCTTAACCACTGGACTGCCAGGGAAGTCCCTCGTGTGTGTGTGTGTGTGTGTGTGTGTGTGCGCACGCACACTTGATAATACATATATATATACATATGTATAATAAGATACAATGGAATCCACTGTTCTGCAGTTTGTTTTTTCACTTATATATTGAGGAATGTTCTGTATCAATGCACTTGGAGTTGTCTCATTCTCCAGTCTTTCATTGCAGGGCGGATGTTCCATGGGTATATTTAGCCAGAACCTTGATAGTATCCAACATTTTGCTACGGGCAAACAACACTGAAAGGAATATCCCTGTATGAAAAGCATTTCATACACATTTGTAACCAAATCTATAGGATAAATACCCAGGAGTAGAATTGCCCAGTCAAGTTGCCCTCTGTGAGGTTCATCAATTGACACTCACACCATGTTTGAGAGCCCATTTCCCCCACACCCTGGCAAGTGCTTACCAAACTTAATTTGCATTTCCCTATGAATAAGGTTAAACATCTCTTCATGTTTTATTAGTCATTTATTTTTTGCTTCTCTGGAGCTATTTATACACTTTGTCTATTTTTCTGAGGCCCTATCTTCTTTTTTTTTTTTGCGGTAAGCGCGCTTCTCACTGTTGTGGCCTCTCCCGTTGCGGGGCACAGGATCCGGACACGCAGGCTCAGCGGCCATGGCTCACGGGCCTAGCCGCTCCGCGGCATGTGGGATCTTCCCAGACCAGGGCACGAACCCATGACCCCTGCATCGGCAGGCAGACTTTCAACCACTGCGCCACCAGGGAAGCCCGGCCCTATCTTCTTAATGGCCAAGTTCTAAAAGTTCAAGGAAATCAACCCTTGTACTGTTGCAAACATCATCCTCCCTCTCCCACTTGTTCTTTTTTTGCCATGCAAATATTCTATGTAGTTACATTTATTATTTTTCCCCACTCTGATAAGTATTTATTTACTTACTTACTTACAGCCATGCTGTGCAACTTGCAGGATCTTAGTTCCCTGACCAGGTATGGAACCCGCACCCTTGGTAGTGAAAGCACAGAGTCCTAACCACTGGATTGCCAGGGAATTCCCCTGGTATGTTTTTAAATCTCGTGTCTTTTTCTAGTACTCTTATATTTAAATCTTTCAGTCGCCTGGAATTAATTTTGCTGTAATAAATGAAGAAAGGATCCAATTTAATTTTTTTCCCCAAATGGCTACTCTAGGATAAACTAAAATTTCCTTAAAAACTTTCATTTTTCTGGCCTTACTACCCAAAGCAATCTACAGATTTAATGTGATCCCTATCAAATTACCCATGACATTTTTCACAGAACTAGAACAAATAATCCTAAAATGTATATGGAAGCATAAAAGACCCAGAATTGCCAAAGCAATCCTTAGGAAAAAGAACAAAGCAGAAGGCATTGCCCTCCCAGACTTCAGACAATACTATAAAGCTATGGTAATCAAAACAGTGTGGTATTGGACTTTCCCTGGCAGTCCAGTGGTTAAGACTCCATGCTTCCACTGCAGGGAGCAGGGGTTCAGTCCCTGGCTGGGGAACTAAGATCCCACAAGGTATGAAGTATGGCCAAAAAATTAAAAAAAAAAAAAAAGATACCAGCGTGGTATTGGCACAAAAACAGACATATGGATCAATGGAACAGAATAGAGCCCAGAAATAAATCCAGACACCTATAGATAATTAATCTTTGACAAAGGAGGCAAGAACATACAATGGGGAAAACACAGTATCTTCAGCAAGTGGTGTTGGAAAAGTTATATAGCCACGTGTAAATTAATGAAATTAGAACACACCCTCACACCATACTCAAAAAAAACCTCAAAATGGCTTAAGACTTAAATATAAGATATGACACCATAAAACTCCTAGAAGAGAACATAGGCAAAACATTCTCTGACATAAATTGTACCAATGTTTTCTTAGGTCAGTCTCCCAAGGCAATAGAAATAAAAGCAAAAATAAACAAATGGGACCTAATCAAACTTACAAGCTTCTGTACAAAGGAAACCATAAACAAAACAAAAAGACAACCTATGTACTGGGGGGAAATATCTGCAAATGGTGCAACCAACAAGGGATTAATTTCCAAAATATACAAACAGCTCATACAACTCCGTAACAAAAAAACAGAACCCAATTGAAAAATGGGCAGAAGACCTAAATAGACATTTCTCCAAAGAAGACATACAGATGGCCAATAGGCAGATGAAAAGATGCTCGTTATTAAAGAAATGCAAATCAAAACTACAGTAAATCAACCACACTGCAATAAAAATTAATTATACATAAAGAAAAACCTACAATGAGGTACCACCTCACACCAGTCAGAATGGCCATCATTAAAAAGTTTACAAGGGCACTTTCCTGGTGGTCAAGTGGTTAAGACTCCGTGCTTCCACTGCAGGCAGCACAGGTTCGATCCCTGGTTGGGGAACTAAGATCTTGCATATCACACAGTGCGGCTAGAAAAAAGAAAAAGAAAAAAAGTCTACAATAAATGTTGGAGAGAGGGTGGAAAAAAGAGAACCCTCTTACACTGTTGGTGGGAATAGAAATCGGTGCAGCCACTATGGGAAGCAGTATGGAGGTTCCTCAAAAAACTAAAAATAGAGTTGCCATGTGATCCAGCAATCCCACTACTGGACATACACCCAAACAAAACTATAATTTAAAAAGATACATGCATCCCCTATAGCAGCACTATTTACAATTGCCAAGACACGCAATGGAATATTACCCATAAAAAAGAATGAAATAGTGCCACTTGCAGCAACATGGATGGACCTAGAGATTACGGTACTAAGCGAAGTAAGTCAGAAAAAGACAAGTACCATATGATATCACTTACATGTAGAATCTAAAATACAACACAGGACTTCCCTGGCGGTCCAGTGGTTAAGAATCTGTGCTTCCACTGCAGGGGGCACGGGTTCGATCCCTGGTCAGGGAAATAAATAAGATCCCGCATGCTGTGTGGTGTGGCCAAAAAAGAAAAAACAAACAAACAAATGAACATATCTACGGAACAGAAACAGACTCACAGACATAGAGAACAGACTTGTGGTTGTTAGTAAGGGGTGGGGGTCGGGGAGGGAAGGATTGGGAGTTTGGGATTAGCATATGCATACTATCACATACAGAATGGATAAACAAGGTCCTACTGTATATAGCACAAGAACTACATTTCATTATCCTCTGATAAACCAAAATGGAAAAGAATACGAAAAAGATATGTCACTTTGCTGTACAACAGAAGCAGCCACATAGCACAGGCAGATCAGCTTGGTGCTTTGTGACCGCCTAGAGGGGTGGGACAGGGAGGGTGGGAGGGAGACGCAAAAGGGAGGAGATATGGGGATACATGTATATGTATAGCTGATTCACTTTGTTATAAAGCAGAAACACACCATAGTAAAGCAATTATAGTTCAATAAAGATGTTAAAAAAAATTTACAGAGAAGTTATAATGCCATGAGAAAATGCCTCTGACCCCAATGCTAAGTGAAACTAACAGATGAGAAAAAAGTTCTATATGTCTTGAGCATTTTCTGTTCCTATTTTTTGTTTTTCTCTTTCTTTTTCAATAAATAAAGTTTTGCACAGAAATAAGACTGGAAGTAAAGATAACAAAATACTAACAGTGGTTGGATTCAGATAAAGGGGCTTTGGATTCTTTAGAAAATCATTTCTATTTTTCTGTATTTAATAAATATTCTTTTGGAACTTAAAAAAATCGTAAATCAACTATACTTCAATAA